GACGCCCCCGAGTGAGAGAAAACAACCTCAGATCTCTCTCTCTCTCTCTTTTTCCCCGTGTGCGTATGATGGGCGATTCTTTCCCCCACCATAGATACACACCATTGTCTATATAGTCTATCATACTCTAAACTGTACCTACTAACACACATATTATTTGACATGTCCCTTATCATACCAAAAATTTCAATGATTATTAACCAAATATAAAAGCTCCCCCTCATCATTACCGTTTCCCAACATTACCTTAAATCTATGTCATAGATCCAATAATAATTCCCATAATAATTTCCCACAAATTCGAAATATGCTACGATCCCGTTACGGAACCATCTCGTCCGATATTTTAACTATTAAATCATCTATCTTAATACTAACTTAGGAGAAAAAATAAAGGCCCTCGTGCCACTCAACTACAAGTCCTACTGCAATTTTTTACTGCTTTGTCAAAACACAGTCTTCAAAACCATTGAGAGAAGCGAGAGAGAGAGAGAGAGAGAACCCAAAGATACAACAACTGCACATAATCTCTCTCATCACTCTCATGGATACTTATGAAGCTACTAAAGTAGTGATGTCAAGGATCCAAGCCCTGGATCCGGATAATGCTTCCAAAATCATGGGTTTTGTTCTGCTCCAAGACCTCGGCGAGAAGGAGATGATTAGGCTCGCGTTCGGGCCCGAAGCCCTCTTGCACTCCCACATCAGCCGGGCCAAGGCTTGTTTGGGGATCCATGCCTTAAACCCTTCCACCCCCAGCAGCCCCTTTCCCCGGACCTCGCCCAGGGTCGTCATACCCGCCGGCGGCGGCGGCGGTAGCAACCCTTCCTCGCCCGCCGCCGCCTTCCAGAGAGCAAGCCCGAGGCCGTTCTCATACGCCGCCGCGCTCAATAGCGCCGCCAATAATGGCATTAGCAGCGGCAGTAGTAGCAGCGGTAGCGGCGGTTTGGGCTACGAATACGGCAATCGATTTCCGTTTATGGATGATTCGCTGGTGGATCCGGTTATGAGCCCCAGCGGGAGGAGCGATTCGCTGCTTTTCCCCTACGGTGAGGACGCGGGCGGCGCCCAATCCCCACACCAGTTTCACAGACGGAGCTGCTCGGTGAACGACGCTGCGTTTCTTGCTAATCTCGAGGAAGGGGGCGGCGGCGCCGGCAATGGTTGGAGGCCCTGCATGTATTTCGCTCGGGGGTTCTGCAAAAATGGCGGTTTGTGTAAATTCTCGCACGGCGAATTTGGGGAAGGGATTGAGGTGGGGTCGCCGAGCAAGGGTGTCTCAGGTTTTGACGAGATTTTGAGGATAAAAGCCCTCCAGCAGCAGAGGCTCGCCGCCGTGGCCTCCGCCGGAGGAAACCATCCTTTTGGCTACAGCAAGTGCATGGACTTGCTGAATGAGAGTCCCAGGTGTTTTTCTTTTTCTTTTTTTGGAAAGTTGATATTTTTCTGCATTTTTCCTTAAAAAATGTCATTTTTTGTTGAAAAAAATGAAATTATCCTATTATGTGCTACATTTAATTGTTTGTTTCCTTTTTGGCCTTAGGCTTGTGCTGGATTATTTATTATTTGTAATCCTGTTTTTGCTCCTTTTCCTTTTTATCCTTTTTCCTAGTTCAGATTTATGAGTTCTTGATTTTTTTCTGGTTGGGAAGTAGTATTTAATTTGTGCTCCAGTTGATTTCTGCTATCAAGTAGATTATATCCTGATGTAATTCAACTCCGAAAAGCTCGTGTATTTAGCGATTTTAGCGAAAAATCGATTGGATTCATTCGTTTAGGTTTCCTATCAAATGCATAATGTTTCATCATGTGGAGAGGTCTTTGGTTGGAAGTAGTCTCATGTGATAATTTAGATAGAACATACTGTGTTGCTAGATTGGCATGTGATTGAATCTATGATGGTTGCGAAATAACATAAATCGCAATGATTACAGATTTGACAGAAGCGAATTTTCCCAAATGTTAGCTGGTAGTTTGAACTCGAGCTCCCGGCAAATTTACTTGACATTTCCAGCTGAGAGCACGTTCAAGGAAGAAGATGTCTCTAATTACTTCAGGTGAGGTTAATACTGATTCGGAAGCTTTTTCGAAACTGTATGCTGAAAACTGCAACTCTGCTGGCACTGATAGTTGCAACCTTTTTTTTTTTATTCTTTTTTTCCGGGAAAGTATGTTTGGACCAGTGCAAGATGTAAGGATTCCATATCAGCAAAAAAGAATGTTTGGTTTCGTGACGTTTGCATATGCGGAGACTGTTAAGCTCATTTTGGCCAAAGGCAATCCGCATTTTGTGTGCGATTCTCGTGTTCTTGTCAAACCCTACAAGGAGAAAGGAAAAATTCCAGACAAGTATATTGCTATCACACTTTATATTGAACATCTTTATCACTTTTTCTCTAGTGCTACTTATTTATTTACTCTTTTTTGTCGTAATTGTTTTTGTAGGAAGCACCAACAGCACTTGGAGAGGGGAGATTATTCGGCTTGCTTAAGCCCTTCTGCACTTGATTCTAGAGACCACATGGACCTCCCATTTGGTATGCTTATTAAACCTTTGTGGTTGTTTTTTGCCATCTGCTTATAGTTTACTATATTTGTTTTATTTATTTTTCTGGTGCAGGATCAAGAATGGCATTCAACTCACAAGAAGTGTTGCTGAGGAGGAAATTGGAGCAGGAGGCCGAATTACAGAATGCCATTGAACGCCAAGGTCGGAGGATAATGAGTTTACAACTTATGGACTTGAAAAATCAGCACAAAAATCATCACTTTCTGCCGGGCCTTCAGTCTTCTGGCATCCCAATCTCCTCCCCTAGACAGGCCCAGCTATTAATGAATGAGAACTTCAACCTTTCTTCTGATGATGCTAATCTAGAAAATTCTGAAGGTTAGTTTGTGGAAGATAAGATATTTAATACAAAATAGTCGCCTAACTTCATTTTTTTATGGGAATTGTTCAGATCTTGATGGTGGCCGGGAAGCAGCTAGATATTCTCCAATTGCTACCGATCAAAAGCTGTTGCTTGAAGGAGTTGAATGTAATAAGCAGCAGGGTTCGAATAATGCTGACTCTGTTCTCCCTGAAAGGTAGGTTAAACCATTAGGTGCACTGTTACTTTGGTGATTTATACTTCAATATATTTGCTGTCAAAGGAAAATGCAATGCTTGTAAATAATATGCTTTTTTTTTTGTGTGTGTGTGTGGGTACTTGAATAAAAAAAATATATATATATATATACCAGCTTGGAGCTTATTCTTCCGGATAATCTTTTTGCTTCGCCTACAAAATTAGCAGCCGAGCATAACTCTATTTTCTCTCAAGCTTCAGCTTCTTCTATGGATGATAACATACCTGTAACAATATCAGCCTCTAACAATATAGCTTCTCTCAAATCATGTTATCTTCAAATGCCAAGGTATTTGTTTTCTATCCAGCTTTTACTACTTGCTTCTCCCTTATTTTAATTTGTTACTTTGAAGTAAACTTGGAAATTCCGCTGACATACGGGTTGTGTCTTCTGGGCAAGAAGCCATTGAAATGTAGGAGTTAACGTTGCTGATACAGGCTAGCAAGCAGGAATTAACTTAGCTTGGTAAGACCGTTTGATCTTATTATACATGGGGATAATTGTGATAAACGACGGGGGAGCTCGAATATTTGATCTCATTTACATTTTCCTTTCCATAAGAGTATGTTCTCAAGAACATACATACCTCGTATTTACGGAAATATTATCATTAGCCTATCGTAAAATTCGACACGACCTCTGGGCACTTTTCGCAATCATTCCCCTAAAGTATGTTTTTTTTTTTATCACCTTAATCTGCAAAACACAGGCTTTTTCTTGGATTACTGATTCTAATGTTTGCCTTTCTTCTTTTTTTTTTCATAATGCAGAAAAGGAAATATTTTAGCAGCACATACACAAGAAAAAAAAAAGACCTCTGTAAGGAAAAATGTCATCACCATTCTCACCAATACCATAATAATGTTATTTGGAGTTCTATTTTACAATCAATATTATTATTTATACAATGAAAAGGCAAAGGACAGCTGATTTATGTGGTGGGGCCCTCACCCTCTCTCATTTTGTACCTCCTATGTGGTAATGTGAGGGGACCACAACAGAACAAAAGCATATAAAAAAACAAAGTCTTGTAGTAGTAGTAACTATTTACTTACTGTCATAGAATGGAAAATTTTTACCCTTCTCCTTTTTTTACCTATCATGATGTGTAAATTCTATGTAGTGTTGTTTTCAAAGACATTCATTCTATGAAGAGATATCAAGTTCCATTGTGCATTTGGAACAAAATAAGTGTCAAAACAATCAGAAATTCTATGGAGCCATCGAATGACTCCTTTATGGAGCAATCCATAATCTTATGTACTGACATATGTTCAATGTGTATTTATTAAAATACACGTGTCAATACAACACACTTCTGAATAACTTTGGGTGACTCCATAAGTCGAGCCATCCGATGACTTCATAGCAAAATCGCAAAACAATATTGCATGCAGTTGTAGATAGAATTATCTAAGGGAAAAATTCACATTTTATTATTATTTTTTTTTTCACTCCTTTTTTACCATATGAATTTCCCTTTGGTCAACAATTGAAGTTGAACCAGACAGTAATTATGAATAAGTGCATATTAATAAGAAATTGAAAAAAAAAAAAAAGAAAAAAGAGAAAGGGTAAAGGGCAAAAGGAAAAGGGTGGTGTTTTCTGCTTTTCAATAAAGTCCACTTTAGTAGACTCCTTTGTGTGATTTTGTGGTTTTTTTTAAGGTGTGGTAAGGTCCACACAGTCACATGGGTTACTGACATATATTTTTGATATCAGGGTACCATAACATATAATAAAAATAATAAATAAACAAATATTTAATAATAATAATAATAATAATGATATAATTGATAATAATAAAAGGTCCTTTCACTTTCAAACCCCAAACTCACATGGGTGCTGACACATGTGTATCCCACATGGGTTTGGCCTTTTGTTTTGTGTAGATTGTGCTTCCCCCATCTCCTCTCTTGCTTGTTTTTCCTCTTTTAATGTAACATAAAATAAGATAATTATACTTCAAATCTGAGCTTCATGTGCTGCCATTTTTTTTTTTTTAAATTGATTTAAATCTGTGATTCATCAACATTATGGATAATTCATTATTTTGGATAGGAAAGGCAGTTGGATTTTTTTTTTTTTTTTTT